CCCGGGCCTGCCTCGGGGCGCCCCGCGCCTTCGGGCGCACCCACGTGCGCGGCCTGGGCGGCGTCGGGCAGGGAAAAGGCTGTCAGGTGGCCGCGGCGCCGACCTGGCTGGAAGGGGTCCGTGGTAATCGAGGGCTGTTGTGCTTTGTTTTCCAGCAACGAAGGTTTTGGGAACAGTAAAATGGTTCAATGTAAGAAACGGATATGGTTTCATCAACAGGTGAGATTCCCGGGTCTGCACCCCGGTCCCGCCTCCCGCGTGCTCCGCTCGGGCGGCGGGCGCTGCGGGGCTCGGGCACAAGCGCCGCGCTCTCGGGGTGGTGTTGGGCTTACTTGTTTTTGTTCCCTTGGTTTATTAGCGTGATCCCCCCTTTTTTTTTTTTAACTGAAGCGGGTAGACTGAGCGGTCTTTGTTTTGGCGCTCACTGCCAATCTGAAAGGTTTTACTGCGGTGTGCAGTGGTGGAAGGCAAGCGGAGTGCACGAGCCGGGCCCCGACAGTTGGGCCGCACTGTGGGGCAGTACGTTTTCCCCCGTGCCTACGTTATCGGACGTGGTAGTTGGCATGGGATCCACTGATTAATAAGGCTGTTGACGCCTCGGTAACATTTTGACATGATTTGGCTTGTCAGGTACGGGAGGTTTTGTCGTCCTTACCGTAGGTTATAGTGTCTTTGTTCAACCTTTTGAACGTGCTCTTTTTAATTGCTTGTGTAAATTTTCTCTTAGGACTGTATTGATCAGAGAGAGCTATTTTTACTTGCCCAGAAATATATCTGGACGAAAATGGACCTTTCTTTCTTGGGTATTTATTTCTCCTACTTCCTTGTTAGAGAATCATGCTGATTGAGTCGATTTTGTTACAGTCCTAGTTGTGGCTTATTAGAGTAGCCTGAAGTCCCTGGCACGTTCACGTGGTTGGTGTTTGAAGGCAGAGCAACGAGCTGCGTCTTGAGATTTGCCCTTGGAATTGGTGGCGGTGGCGGCCGCAGCTCACTCGCTGCACTCCGTGGGCTCCCTTGTGAGCCGGGCATCGTTTCCAAGATGGCTGCCAGGGCTAGTAGTGCAGTTGCATGGGTGTAGAGCTCCGCGAATGCCAGGAGCAGTCTTGGCCGTACAGCTGTGATACAGTGCTTGGCGCCATTTCAGCATTTTCTTTCTTAACATCCTTATTTTAGAAGGCCTTAAACAACTAGATGTTTAAAAGAACACTTAAGAGAAATACAGAGTGTGAGATGGACACCAAATGGTTGTAGCTTGGCTTTTAGAGACGTAGTTGATTAAAAAAATAAGCACTAGTCAAACCACAGTATTGTAGAAACATTCAAAGCAATAATTTGTAAGCATTGAGTGCTCTGTTCTGCACATGTTAGTTATGGAGAAACATTATTTTTTCCAGAATTTTTGGAATTTTATAGCTGTCGCACTGCTAATCAAGACTACATTTTCGTTAATTTTTTGGTTGTTAATGGGTTGCTAGTGTGGGGGATTTGCTTTGGTGCTTATATGATTGGCATAATGATCATTTTTTTAAAAACTGATCTCTGAATTTTGTGTTTTAGTTGGCATTTGTGTTAATATTCTTACTGCTGACCTAACCATTAAGCCAGTGGTTTTCAAATTAAAGATGTTGAAAATGGAAATTCCTGAGTTCTTTCTGAACTTTAGATTCATTAGGTCTGGTACTTTTTTCAACAATCCCAGGTAATGGTGAGAATGGCCTGTGTTCTATACATTTTTTTTTTTTTCTTTTCTTTTTGAGAAAGGGTCTCCTTATGCAGGTCAGGCTGGCCACGAACTCTGTCAAGGATCCTCCTGCCTCAGCCTCCCAAGCACTGGGGAGCACATCTATACCTTTAAAATAACTGCTTTTAACCCTTTTCACAGTGCAGTCAGGTATCCCTGGTGTGCATGCAAGAGGGGACTTCGCACGCTTTTCCGTGAATAGATTGTGGTTTTCGTGTATTGCACTCTTCTGTTTATTGTGTTAGATGCCATTCACTAAATACTTGCTCTGACTTTGAATCAGCTCGGTTGCTTTTTCAGGGCAAATGTCGATTATTCTTTGATTGTCTGTCCTTTGGTCCTAACCTCAGCTAGTTTGTTTAAATTAACCAATTAAAATGTATTAACTGGTCATTGTAATGATTCTGGGGCTTTTTAATAAGCTTTTAATAAGCGACTGTAGAATGCTATTACAATTAAATAGAGGGAAGGGTCGCCTTAAGGAAAGTAGCTGAGATGACTTTTGTGACTTAATTCACCTGTAGTCCAAGCTACTTGTGAGGCTGAGGCAGGAGGATCACAAGTTCAAGGCCAGCCTGGGCACATTTAGCAAGACCCTGCCTCAAAGTAAGTTAGGGGTCTAGCTCAGCGGCAGAGTATGCCTGCCTAATGTGTGGGAAGCCTTGGGTTCAATACTACCACCAAAAAGGGAAAACAGGAGTATTCTGAATTGATATTCTTTTGCGGGGGGGAGGGGAGGGCGGGTACTGGGACTCGAACTCAGGACCTGGTGCTTGGCAGGCAGGCAGATTTTTTTGTTTTAGGTATTTTCATCATAAATGTTTATTACATTCTAAAATACCACTTATGATTGACAGGGCCATGTTACAGTGAAAAAGGGTTTTCTCCTGTTGGTTTTACTGTATAAAAAATACTAAATAACCAGAGCTTTTTAAATGGCAACTTGTGTAGCTGGGTGTGGTGATGCACACCTGTAGTCCCAGCACTTGGGAGGCTGAGACAAAAGGATTGCTGTGAGTTCAAGGCCAGCTTGAACTGCATAGTGAAGTCCTGTCCCAAAAAGACCAACTAAAAAAGCAGCTTTTATTCTACTAAAATGTAATCTAGGAATTCAGAAAAAGAAATTCATTGAGTTGCTCCTTTGTGTGATGTGTTGGTAAAAATAACTGAACCATGTGACTGGAGTTCATTGGCTCTCATCCTCAAGTTACTGTTCCACTTTTATTAGTTGTTGAGAATTGATCTATATTCACCCGAGTCAGCAGCAGCTTATTTATAATAGGAAATGCATCTTTTATAGTGACCAGAACTGGGTTTTCTTGCTGTTCTCCAGAATGCTTAAAATGCCTAGGTTAATCATTCTGAAATTTTAAGGTAGGGAGAATTTAAGTAATTACTGCCCAATTATAAATATTAGTGCTATTCGTAATTAAAAGCTATTATAACCAATATATTCGTTTCATTAAACTAAAAGAAATTTATATTTGTGAGTTTCTTTAAAGCATTTTATGCATGAAGGCAGCTGGTTTGTACAGTGTACAAAACTGTCACAACATTTTTGGCTTTCTTTGAAGCCGTGTTGGCACCCATGTTTTTCAGATAGACATGCGTGTACCACTGGCAAGAATCAGAGCCACCTCGCAGCAAGACAAAAATTATGGCTGTGAACGTGTTAAACGTTTGGTACCTCAGGGATTGAAACCAGGAATGCTCTACCACTGAGCTACAGTCCTTTTTAATTTTGAGGCATGGTCTAGCTAAATTCCTCAGGGTGGCTTCAATTTTGAATCCTGCATCATCTTCCAGAGTGGCTGGGATAATAGATGTTGCTGTGCCCAGTTACAACCCTGAAAACCTGCACATTTTTAGATAGTGCTGTTACTAAAGCTCAAAGAGGTCCAGTAGCTCTCCTCATAAACATAGATAGTAACTGGCAGAAGCGGGATTTGAACTCAGTTTTCTTACTCAGGAGTGGAGCTTGTGTTCACCAACTGCTGTTATGTTGTCTCAAAATTGACACTAGTAGCTTTCTATTTGGTTGTTGTCCATATAGTTGTAGATTGTTCTTAGTATAACTATTCTTAGACATTTAAAGACTTAATGCTCTCTAGCATGTCAGTGGACCTCCTGTGTACTTAACTGCTAGCTACTCAGATTGAAAAGCTTGCTACTTATCACTACATTTTGTAGATTGTGGTATTGTAAGTTCTACTTCGCACACAGGTCAGCATTACAAATTAAAGGGTTTGCTTACTACTTAGTATTAAGTATTTAAGGAATTAAAAAATTAAAAGGGGAGAACACTGAGCCTTCATTTTCACTTATGGATTTGTGGTTTTTGTAGAGCCTGTGCCATAAGGATGGGTATTACTTTTTAAGGCATTAACTTTTTAAAAAGGCAGCAGTCTGTATGTGGCCACAGTGCCTGGGATACTTAGTACTTTCTTAGAAGTTTACAGATCTGTGGAAAGATGGTTGCCAAAAGTCTTGGGCTGTTAACATCACTGATCTTCATCTCAGTAGGTCTGTCTCTAAACCTTGTAAGTTGTGGGTAATCTATAATCTAAAATCTATGACACGGGGAGGCTTAAAGGATTTTGATGGTATGCTACTAAGGGACATGTTAGGGAGTGGTTCTTTAGAACTGGGATTTCTTTTTGAGATAGGGTCTTGCGACATAATCCAGACTGGCCCCAAACCCGCAGCAGTCTTCCTGCCTCCGCCTGCCAAGTGCTGGGATTGCAGATATGTGCCACCACCCCTGGTTTAGAACTGGGATTCTTAGGGCAGGCAACAATGACTTTGCTGGAGAATTTAGGAGTGATTTATATGCCACTTATATTAGCCACTGGTCTTAGCTACCCAGAAGTCATCCCATGTTTATCAGGTCACTTATACAGGAGTACTCCCATGTAGTGGTGGTTCCTTCTGTTTGGCATCAAAGTAGTAGAATCATTTGTTCTTAAAATCTAGAATAAGCAACTGGTGTTTTTAACCCGTTTTCCTGGTGCTGTAGCTGCAGTTGTGGAGTTTCCTACCCCTCTACTCTGAGCCCTAGGATGCATCCAGACTAAGGTGAAATGGTAGACCATGCCTGGGAAAGAAGGATGTCTGCTAAGTGAGAGGAATTTCTTTTTCCTTAGTAAGAAAACGGTGAAGAGAAGAGGACAGATTTACGGTTTTCTGACTATATGTGGGGCTAGAAAAATTGCTCATTGAACAGTAAGGGAGTTTTATAAACAAGCTTCTTAATGAGCTGCTCCGATGGCTATCATCACTACTATAATCTGATAATTCTTGGTCCAGCTTTGCATCATGAACTAAGAATGTTCTTACATTTTTTTAAAAGGGTTGTACAGAGGGGAGAAAATACACAACAGGTACTATGTATAGCTATACAGCTTAGTTGTTTAATCTCAGAGAAACTTTTTTTTTTTTTTTTTGCAAAATCCTGATCTGATTACAGTACGTAATAATCTTGCATGCTTCCTTGAGTAAGGATTCATGTTGCTACTTTTCATTTGCTCCTAAAATTGGAGAAAATAACTATAGCTGTCTTCCGTGGCTGGAATATTAGGGTTTTAGAAACAGCCCTTCTTGAAATCTCAAGGTAATAAAGACCAGGAGCCATGAAGTTAAAAATCAGCTACTGTGAGCAAATGGCAGTTGTATTTCAATTCCCTGCTTTGTAAAATGGGGGTAGAGTAATGTTACCTACCTCAGGATTATGAGGAATTTTTTGTTTTGTTTTGCAGTCCTAGGGATTGAACCAGGGCCTTCCAGCCCAGGATTGTGAACACTTTGAAATACTTAAGATAATACTTGGAATTTTAGCCATCATAATATAAGCTTTTCTGTATGTGGTGGAGCTTTTCTCATTCTACAGGTGAGAAAAAATTCCAGGGAGGAGACAATTTAATGAATGAGGAGGCAGCTTTCAAAGTTACACAGCTATTAATAGGTTTTATTTTTTGAGACAGGATCTTGCTATGTAGTTGCTGGCTTTCAACTCACTGTGTAGCACAGGCTGGCCTTCTAATAAATACGTAGAGATCCTCCTGCTTCAGCCTCCAGTGCTGGGATTCTAAGCATGTGCCACCGAGCCTAACTACAGCTGTTAGTAGAATCAGTACTAAAAATTAGTTTTCCTGTTAACAATTAAATAAACTTATGAGTAGTCATTTAATAAGTTGTATCTAGATTTGTTTAATGTGTCCAACCCCCATAAGTTTTGTTTTTTTCTTTTTTTGAGATAGGGTCTCACTGTGCAGTCCAGGGTGGCTTGGAACTCCTGGTGCACCTCCTGGCTTCCCTGTCTGAGTACTAGGACTACAGGGGTGTGTCCAGCAAAGCCATAGTGTTTTGTTTTGCTGTACTGAAGATTGAACCCAAGGCTTTGTACCTGGTTACATCTCAGCTGAATTGCACAGGCTGGCTGACCTCAAACTGTATACTCTTGCTTCAGCCTGATGCCTGGCTGGGATTACCCATGTTTGCCAGCACACCCAGCTAAGCCATGATGTTTTATGTTGTTGAAACTGCATTTTCTGAACTGTTGAATTTCTTCCTGAAATTTGGGTACACGTTGCTTATATTATTTATTATTAAGCTGGTTTTAGTCAACAAAATAGTATGTGCTATTTGTATGGCATGACATTAGTATATCTATGCTGGTTTCCACATTTCTTTGTACCTACAAAATCTTAAGTTTTGGTTTTTTGGGGGTTACATTACCTTTCATCTGCTGTGGCCATCCAGCCTCCTACTATTTTAAAGATGCCCTTGTAGATAGTAGTGAGTTTTCTAGTTATTTCTTTTACGGCCCTGAAGCAAATTTATAATGACAGTATTACTTTTTGTTGTCAGTAATGAAGTCCTCTATGAATGTTGTCTTTTTATTTTTGTTGTTGTTTTGGTGTCCGTCTGTCGGTCGCCCCCCCACCACCCGTACCGGGAACTGAACTCACGACCTTGCGCTTGCCTGGCAGGCACTATGCCGCTGAGCTAAATCCCCAGCCCCCAGATGTTGTCTTTTTACTGAATTTAAAGCATATTAAAACAGTACAAAAGACTTGTAAATATATTTGCATGAAATCCACACGGGTGCCATAGTCATCCACATGCTTCACTGCCCCTACCCCCTCATGCTGGTCATACTCAACAGCTTCACCTGCCTTTCCAACTCTGCTAGTTCTTTGTAGTGCCTCCCTTGGAGTCCTAGAATGGGGCATAGTCATGTTGAAGGTCAGTTCTGATAGGTTCTGTGGGAAATGTTGGCCTTTTGAATACCTGGCTGTTCCCTATTGGAAATGTCTCACAGAGTCTCTTGAATAACCCAGGCCATATTCTTGTCTCTGCCTGCGGGCACATGTCACCACACTCAGCACATTTCCTCATTGGCCTCAAGAAGACATCTCAAATACCTACCCCATATGAAGCTCCTCAGTCCAAGGCTCCCTTAATCCTGTCTGGGGTTTTTACAACTGACTGTTGGACCCCTCTTGTATTCCAGTGTTCCTTAATATTGGTCATTAGAGTCTACCCAGTGAATTTAGCATGTCATATTCTTAGAATTAAAAGACTGCTGGCTCCCTCCTATGGGTTGGTTTGCCCCATCTTTCCTCTCACACATCCAGTCTTAATTCAGGGCTTGTTTGCTTATTTTTTGAGACAGGGTGTTACTTTGTAGTGTAGGCTGGCCTTCATCTCACTGTGTAGCCCAAGTTGGCAATCCTGCCTAAACCTCCTGAGGGCTGGGATTTCACTCCCGGCTTTAAATTTATTTTTTTGGTTTGGTTTTTCTCCTGTACCAGGAATCGAACTCATGACCTTGCACTTGCCAGGCAGGCGCTGTGCCACTGAGCTAAATCCCCAGCCCCTAAATTTAGTTTTCATTGAATTTGCTGGGTTTACCAATATTTTTTACCTTTTATTAACTGAGACAACATTTCGTTTTAAAATCTTAAATATCTCAGTGATGTTTGGCAGATTTGACTAGTTGCTATAAAATGTTTAATATAAAGTGAAATACATATTATTAAAAATTTTGTCAGCCAGGCTTGGTGGTGCACACCTGTAATCCCTCACTAGGGAGGCTGAGGCAGGAGGATCATTGGAAGTTCAAGACCAGCCTGAACTGCATAGTGAGATCCTATCTGAAAAAGATAAAAATAAGAACAGTTTGCCTTGGGCACATAAGTGGTGTGGATAGTTCTGATACCCAGGTTTGTACTTGATTCCCTCCCCCTTTCTTCAGCTGACAAACCAGCATTGACTTGTTGTCACCTGGAGTCCGTAGTCTGTAATAAGCTTTACTCTTTGTGTTGTACATTCCAGAGTATTATTTATTTCTGTGGTCATTTTTATGGCTTCAAGGAAATTTGAGAGTTGGAAATAAATGGTGAAGAGAAAATAATTGAGGGTGAAATGAGAAAGTAATTCCCACTTCTCTTGCTGTTTTGGAACACAACTAGAGTGGCAAAGCAGATGTTGCCTGTCATCTCAAAATACCCTGTGCCCCACACTGGGGATTGGAGACAGGATCTTGCTGAGTCAGTAAATTAATCAGGCTTGCTGGATTTGAGTTCATGAACCTCTTGCCTCTGCCTCCCAGATTGCCAGAATTGTAGGCATGCAATGTCATATCCAGCTAGACTTGGATTTCTTAGGCTTATTTTATTTATCCTCTACAGGTAGTGAGATTACAGCTGTTTGCCATTGCTTAGTCTTTAAAACAAATCATAGCACCTTGCTTGCTTATTTTGTTCACATTTCCCTGATAGGAAATTTCCTGTGTTCTGTTTTTCTTACTTGTTGAACTTGGTTTTGTTTTGCAGGAATGACACCAAGGAAGATGTATTTGTACACCAGGTGAGTGCTTATGTAGAAATTTGTGCTTGTGAGAAGAAAAAAGTGGATGTCCTGTTTATTGTCCTTGCAGAAGGTTAAGTTCAGTCATACTTAGTTCTACCTAAAGAATAATATGCTTAAATCTGTATATTGAGACCTTGTATTGGAATGCACTTAATTAAAATAGGCATTTCAAATCTGAATTTTGTTAATAGCTAACCCTTTTTTAAATGTTGCATTTGCTCAACTTACTGAATTTTCATACCTAATTCCAGGTGAGCAAACAACCACTAAATAATGTTGCCTTAAATACAGAAACTTTAGCAAAAGTTTTCAAGTGCTGTTAGGTTTGTGTCTGTAGTAAGGACAAATCATAACAGGGCATAGTTGAAAACATAATAACCTGAAGAAGACAACAGAAAACAACCAAAGCAGCCTAGGTCTACCTAGTGGATTTTTTTATTTTCGTCTTTGGTGCATTGACTAGCTTTGGAAAACTTGAAATAATTAAGAGTTTAAGGTTAAGTGAAAAAAGGCAGTGCATCAAAATTGGTGACTGATCATTACATAATTGTAGCTTGGCTAACATTGTTTTGGGAAGAAAAAACTTACCCTAATAAGTGGTACCTGGTGGATTTTCTGCTCAAGTATCATTTAAGGAAAATGTTCAGAAACTGAGAAATTAAGATTATTGCCAAAGTAAGCTAATATTGTAAATTTAGGTGTGTTATAGCCACCATTGGATTTACTGACCCTCACAGATACTACATAAATAGGAAAATTACATCTTCATACGTGAACTTCTGTATTGTGCAGGGTTTGTTTTGGATTTTTTTTTTTCTTTGTTGTTGTTTTTCACTAGGATTATCAGAATATAAGATTGTATTGGAGATTATTTTATGAACTTGTGCAAAAGTGGGGGCGGGGATATAGCTCAGTGGCACAAAGCCTTCCTGGCAAGCACAAGGTCCTGAGTTCAATTCCCAGTACCCAAAAAAAAACTTCTGGTAACTTTTTATACTAACCCAGAAATAAAAAGACCTGAAGTCACTTTTCACACAGCTTTATTCAGGCAGATAAGAGCTTGGATGACAGCATGCTTCTTAGGGAAGGTTGTCATAGGTTGATGCTTTGTAGCTCTCTGAAGTGATAAGGTCAGCATTCATTGACAATCGGGTGATGCCAGATTAATTTCTAATACACCCAAAAACCCTATCAAATAATGCAAGGGTCACATGTAAGTATGGAAACATTTAAATTCTAAATGTAAATTCAGGACTGCTCAGAAGATGTTCACATTTCCCTGATAGATAAAATATAAAAATAAAGATAAAAATAAAGATAAAAGAAAAAGATAAAAATAAAGCAAATGTTTTATAAACTTGGTATTTTTATTTGTATAAAAATAACTTCCTGTTCTGCATGTTCAAAAGAATGTGCAGATTTAGGAATAATAGACAGCAAGGCTGCTCAGTCTTGCTGTCTGTTGGCAACCCTGAAGGATTGGAGGGAGGGTTAGAGATGTTGACTATAGAGTTTTGGGATTTTAAGTATCCATACTTCTGCTATCCCCTATGACTGCAGGTAATTGAGAGTTGGCTATATGTGAAAGGTACGAAAACTATGTGACAGTTTAGATGACAGCTGAGATCAATTATTTGACTCAACTCAATTGTATTGACCCACAAGGTTTTTTATTTTGGAAGTGGTTTCAACATATAGTTGTTTCTTGGGACTTTCGCTGCTCGGGTCTTAGTGGTGTATCACGCAGACTGCAGTTCTGGGCAACAGAGCTTAACTGGCCTCAGATTTGTTGGTTGTCCTACCTCTGGAATGGAAATGCATGAGTGATCCTGTAATGGATACTGCTGTGATGTGGAATGACCATGGGATTTGGAGTCCCAAGACCTAGATTTAGAAAGCCCTGCTCTGCCACTTAGTAGCTGCGTGACCTTGAGCAAGTCACTTAACTTTTTAAAAGTCTGTTATTATGCAAGATTGTATTCTGGGAAGGTAATAGCCACCAGTCCCATGCAGTCAGATAATCCTAAGAGTGGCATAGTTAATACAGGTGAAATGCATTTCCATGAAAGTGTATCACAGGTTGGAAGGAATTTTTGTTGACATTTGTAATTGAGTTTGACACAGTAATACAGGGACAAAGTTAGTTTGTTAAACTTTGAAGCGTGTAAAACTAAACTCGCCTGTCATCTAAACTGGCCATGTGTGGGGCTAGCTTCTACTATTAAGTGCAGTCTTTGGGGGATAGATGAGTAGTTTCATTTTGTTTCAAGCTATATCTAATGCTTCCACAAAAAGCATTTAAATGTGTGTGTGTGTGTGTGTGTGTATATATATATATAAATTGTTGTGTCTCTTGAGTGTTAAATTAGTTTTGTAAATAGTGGTAAAATGCTGGGGGCCTTGTAAGATTGGAGTATTTTGTTTGAGGTTGGGGATAGCATTGGTCCCTGCTTTGCTGAACCTATTGCCAGTTTGGTCTTATGTAAAGCAAATTATAAGTATGTATCCAAGTTTAAATAATAATTGACTCTGGTACATTTTAAATGAAAAAGAACATTATTCTCCCCTGTTAATCTATTTTTGGAATGTGATATTACTAGACTGCCATAAAGAAGAATAACCCCAGGAAGTACCTTCGCAGTGTAGGAGATGGAGAGACTGTGGAGTTTGATGTTGTTGAAGGAGAAAAGGTGAGGATGCTTTTTGTGTAAAGGTTTGACTTCAGTATGGAAATATTTTGGAAATCTCATCCGATAGGATGGTGGCTCTAATGTGGATGGATGTGTTCAGGTGACTACATGAACACAGGTACATCAAGCCTAATGTGCTGGCTACAGTTAGAGGGCAGTCTCTTCAGAACAGTGAGGAGCTGATATTTAGTCATTTCTGTGCGCCCTTACATAGACACCACCCCCTACCCTATGTTTTAAATTTTGTCCTTTGGGTTTTTTCCCTGGCTTTGTGTGAAGTTTGTTGACAGTATTCCCATTTCCTTTGTCACTATCCATATGTAACGGCTTTTATAGGGTGCGGAGGCAGCAAATGTTACAGGCCCTGGTGGAGTTCCAGTTCAAGGCAGTAAATACGCAGCAGACCGTAACCATTATAGACGCTATCCACGTCGTAGGGGTCCTCCACGCAATTACCAGCAGAATTACCAGAATAGTGAGAGTGGGGAAAAGAATGAGGGATCGGAGAGCGCTCCCGAAGGCCAGGCCCAACAACGCCGGCCCTACCGCAGGCGAAGGTTCCCACCTTACTACATGCGGAGACCCTACGGGCGTCGACCACAGTATTCCAACCCTCCTGTGCAAGGAGAAGTGATGGAGGTAAGTCTCACCAAAAAGGAAAAGTATTTGTGGCATGTATAGCTTTTGTTTTTCACTCTTACACTTGTGATTTGGATGTGTCTGGATTTTCACTCTTATTGTTATTAATGCAGTAGGTTTGATTTCTTTCGTTTTTTTTTCAGGGTGCTGACAACCAGGGTGCAGGAGAACAAGGTAGACAAGTAAGACAGAATATGTATCGAGGTTATAGACCACGATTCCGCAGGTATGGCCAATATTAATGGATTTGGTCTAAATTTCTCAACTGTATGTTAGCCCTCAGCAGAATCACGCTTCTGCCAGTCTTTTTGAGATAAAATCTGTTAACACTTCACATTTTCTTTAGTCAGATACCTAAAAGCTGAACCTGAAGTCAGTTTTCTTTGATGAAGTGTTCTTTGCATTTCTTTTCCTGGCACTGTTCAAAAACAGCTTGTATGGATGAGGTCTACTTTATACATAATTGTTTTAAAGAGTGGTTTAGACCTGTTTTGGCAGGAAAAAAAGTAAAGTTTTTTTTTTTTTAAGCATTAGGAATATCTGAACTACCCCATGGCATACATGAAGAATTAGTAAATTTTACTGTGAAGTGGCATAATTTCCCATTAATCCCTTCTCAACTGAGTGTACTGATTTTGCCCTCCAAGTTACAAAATGAAAGCACTCCATTAAAAATACATTTTGGGGTAAAGCAACCAATCCCAGAATATTAGCCAATCTGCCTACCTGGGTATTAGAGGCGTCTGCTGTGTGACAAACAAATTAATTGTAAGGTAATTACTAGAACAAGAACTGCATGATCCAAGTATATTTCAGTACATGGTTTGGTATACCTTAAGTGTCTCCAGTCCCAAAGTGGGGTAGAATAGTGTGGAAGTTCTTCACACAGTTGAAGCATTAGGCATTATAAGAGATCTAATTGAAGTTATGCCGTGTATATATCAGATAAGAATTTTGTGCGCATCAAGAATTTTGCATTAGTAACTAATAGCCTTGATTGTACTTTCTCTTGATAGTATAGTTTCTTTGTTTTTGTTTTTCTTGGGTAGTGGGAATTATAATTCTTGGTAGTATAGTATGTTCTGCCTGCGTTAACAGGAATGAACCAAGACCCTAACTCTGGTGTACTAAATAGAAGTTTCTGATTCAGTTTTATGCAAGGAGATTATGTTGGCCATGTTGATGACAGATAAATTCTTGCCTGTCCAGTGTGTGTGAGGGGTGATTTTTAAAAAGAAAAAAACCACAAATTTCAAAACAAGATAATAGGGTAACAGTGGTTTATACATTGCATACTGCTGTCTTTAAATTAGTTACTCAGAGTACAAGGTATAGGCATTTAATTGTCCAAACAATATTAGCACAAAGCTGGGTGTGGTGGCACACACCTGTAATCCCGGCTGAGACAGGAGGGTCTTTTGTAAGTTCAAGGCCGGCCTGAACTGCATAGTGAGACCTTGTCTCAAAAAGACAAAAAAAAGTGCAAACCTTTCTTTTCAATGAACTAAAAGAAATTAGTAATAAAGCTTTTTTTTTTTTTCTCCCCTCTTGTCCTTTTGAGACAGGGTCTCTCTGTGCAGTTCAGGCTGGCCTTGAGCTCACTTTGTAGCCCAGGCTGGTCTCAAACTTGCAACGATCCTCTTGCCTCAGCCTCCTGAGTGCTGGGATTACAGGTGTGTGCCACCACACTCGGCCATAGTAAAACTACTTTGTATGTAATTTTTTTGTTTTTGTTTTTCCCTTCTTCTTTCCCCCATTCCTGTTTCTCTCAGTTTTTGAACAGTTTCTTCCTGTTTTATAATATCTGTTGTACATTTTGGATCTTATTTACTCTTTCAGCTTCTTATTCTAGGGAGACAATGTGATATGTGCACCTGTGCCTCTGGCTTATTTCACTTTCGAGTGTGGTCTCAGGCTGCATCCACTTATCTATAAAAGTCTTCAGTTTATCCTCCTTTATGGCTGAGTAGTACTCCACTGTACAAAAAGACCACATTTTTTTTTTAATCTGTTCCTCAGTTGATGGGTGTTTGAGTTGTTGCCAAGATCTACCTATTACAAATTGTGCTCCTATAAATATGGACCAACATATATCACTGTGGTAAAATGTTTTTAATTCTTCTGAGAAGATAACCAACAGGGGAATAAGAATATCTGGGTCAAATGAGACCTCCAACCCTAGTTTTTTGAGGAATCTTCACTGATTTCCAGTGATTGTACCAGTCTACAGTCCCACCAACAGTGGAGAAGGGTTCCTTTTTCCCCACAGCCCCTCCAGCATTTTTTACCAGTTGATTTCTTAATACTAGCCATTCTTTCTGGCATAAGATGGAATCTCAGTTGTTTTCATTTGCATCTCTCAAATGACCCGTGGTGTTGAACATTTTCTCATATTTTCTCTTTGTATTTTTTCATCTGAGAAGTGCATATTCATCTCAGGTGCCCATTTTTGGATAGGGTCTTTAAATCTGGGAAGTCCAATTTTTTTTTATTTTTTATTTTTTTTTTAAATTATATGTTCTCCATAGTAATCCTTTGTCTGAGGAAGAGCTGGCAGACATTTTTCCCACATTGTGAGTTGTCTCTTCACTTTGTTGGTGGTTTCTCTTGCTCTGCAAAAGTTTTTAAATTAAGTTGGGATCCCAGTTGTTGTTTCTGTGTGATAGTTCCTGTGCAGTCAGGGTTTTTTATATAAAGCCTTTGCCTACACCAATGTCTTAAAGAGTTTTACCTATTCTGTCTTCCAGCAAATTTAATGTTTCTGTTGTAATATTTAGATCTTGGATCCATTTAGACATGAGTCTAGTTTTAGTCTTCAGCATGTAGACAGCTAGTTTTTCCAGCACCATTTATGAAAGAGGTTTTCTTCCAGTGAATGTGTTCGGCACCTTTGTCAAAGATAAGGTGGCTAAGTGTGTCTGGAGTTGTATCTGCAGCTTCTAATCTTCCATTGATCTTTAGGTCTGTTTTATGTTGTTGTTGTTGTTGTTGTTGTTGTTTGAGGGTTTTTTTTTGCCAGTACTACACTTTTTATTGCAGTAGCTTTATGGTATAATGGAAAGATTATTTTTGATGCTGACAGATTATAGGGTTTTGTTTTTCTTGACCTGAACTCTGTGGCTCAGACTTTTAAACCCAGATATGGATTATTGTTGAAATACTGCAGTCAGAATTACCCCAAGATCATCTCTTAAAGTAAGTCTACAGTAGGCACTTGAGGCAGTCGGAACATTAGTCCATGGCTGAGACGCTGTCTCAGAAAACAGAAAGAGGTTAGACTTCATAGCTTCGTTTTTACTGTATAGAGTAGTTGTAACTGTCCAATAGTTACTATAGTCACGTCATGCATTTTGCTTTCAACTCTGCAGTAAGAGTGACAGTGTGGAGCTTTCCAACCAATAACCCGTGTGTAAATGACCAGTGAATGAAGCCTGTACAGTCAGGCATGAAATCCTGTCTGGTGAGGATCAAGAATGAACTGAAAGGGGGATCTTAAGATAGAATTTTTTTGGAATGGAAACAAATAGGTGGTGGTAAAGGGGAAATGTGAGGTCAAAAGGATTTTTATTTACTGGAAGTGGAAACATTCATAGGCTGAAAAGTACAATTGATAGCAGAAAAAGGTGAATCCGAAGTAAAAGGTTTAGGACAAAGATAGGAAGGCTTTCTAAAAGAGGACAGAAAATTTATAAATAACAGTGATTACAAATTTAAAGTGAGTCCACCCAGCACAGTTGTATTTTTCCAGCCATTTGAGTGGCACATGTAGGTTGTACATACTTGGGTTTAGTCTGGCATTGGTTTATCCAGATGAAGACAGAGGTAGTGGTTGGGTGTGTGAGTTACAATGAACTTTATACTGGGATAAAGGACTGAAAAATATTGAAGGGAAGTAATTGCGGAATCTCATGCTCAAAATTAACAAAACCCAGGGAGAAAACACCAGAAGAGGAGGTCAACAATCTGAAAAATCAGGTTATTAGAAACTTTTATCTGGAGCTGCAGTAGAAAAAAGGATAATAAATGCTACAGAGCCTAACGTAAGATTGAAAGCCTATAATTTTTTGAAGCAAACTGGGAAAGCTGATTTAGAAACCACAGTGGTACAGTAGTACAGCCACCATTTGGACAGCAGAGGAAAACCAAAGCACCCCTGCTAAAGATTGGTTAACTGGGTCGAAAAGATGGGGAGCAGGTTTCAGAAGGAGATGGTTAAAATAAGCAGGTAGGATTTAGAGGCTAAAAAATGGAATGTGTAGAGGTAAGTGTGAACTCGTTACGATCTTGGTGCTTCTAGGATTTTCTGGAGTACCATTAATATGAACGGGGAAAAGAACAAGAATATATTTTCCTTATCACTACCCCCCCCCCAAAAAAAAAAAAAAAACGAGTATCTTTCACTTTGTGGTGAAAAGTCAGCCATTGGAAATGATATGTTTATGGAAGGTACCATTTGAACCTTGGGTTTTTAAAGTGTATAACCCATTGGCTTTTAACCTACTTTCTTGTAACTTACTCTGGACATTTCGTGTATTGAGTCATGGGCATGGCTCATTTCTGGCTGGTGTGACGCAGCAGTCTTTTCAGGACTTTTTTTATGTCATAGTATGCATCAGCATGGTTCCTTTTTACAGCTAGTCACATCCCTTTGCTTGGGTGGGCTACTTTTCCTCAGTTTTGATAGCTGTTTGGGTTGTTTCCTCTTTTTGGCTCTTGGAAACGAAATTCACAAGCACACAAGTTCTTGTGCATAGTCCCTCTGGGGGTAACTTCAAGGAATTGCTAGAATGACAAATTGCTATGCATTTATTGGTATGAAGGAGACATCTTTTCTTTGGTTTTAATTTCCTGTTGTTTAAACAAATATTTTTCAGTAAAGGTTAGAGGCACCTGCTTTCAAGGTTGGTTATCATAAAGCCCTTTTAAAAATCTTTGTAAATGACATTATAGTGTGATGGTATTGTACCACTATTAGCTAGTAGTTAATGACTAATTTTGTAATAGATTAGCCAAGTTTGCCGTCCCTTAAAGCAACTTTTTAATTGGTGTGTAATATTTGTGCGTATTTATGGGGAATAGTATATTCTGATATGTGCGTACCATTGTATAATGGGAACAGGGTAATTAGCGTTTCTGTCTTGTTAAAATTTCTCTGTTTGGTACCTTCAGATTCCTAGTTATTTTGAAATAGAGTACTAGACTGGCCTTGAACTTGGTGATCTTCCTCAGGTTCCTGAGTGCTGGAATTACAGGCATGTGCCCCCACACCCAGAAAACTAGTTTGAGACAGGGTCTCAGTATGTACCACAGGCTTGCCTCAGACTCAGCGTGATCCTCCTGCCTTCCCCTCCTGAGTTACTGGGATTACAGATGTACAACACCATGCCGGGCTATGTGAAACCAGTTTTAAATACTCATCTTGGTCTACTTATGTAAAGTCATCACACAGTTTATAAGCTAAGTTTGCTCTTAGTTTTTGTTAAACTTTGTGTGCACCACTTTGATCACACAAGTGGCTAGTTGGGACTGTGTACTATAGTTGACTAAACCAAGTGCATTTAACACCTGTATGCAGGTTGAAAAAAGAAATCGGTGTAAATCATTCCCAAGTGTTCATAATGTTTGTTCCAGGGGCCCTCCTCGCCAAAGACAGCCTAGAGAGGACGGCAACGAAGAGGATAAGGAAAATCAAGGAGATGAGACCCAAGGTCAGCAGCCGCCTCAACGTCGGTACCGCCGCAACTTCAATTACCGACGCAGACGCCCAGAAAACCCTAAACCACAAGATGGCAAAGAGACAAAAGCAGCCGATCCACCAGCTGAGAATTCGTCCGCTCCCGAGGCTGAGCAGGGCGGGGCTGAGTAAATGCCGGCTTAACATCTCTACCATCATCCGGGTAAGGGGCTAAGGCTGTGGCTGTGGCTGTGGCTGGCCCTCCAGCCTTGGAATGATGTAAAATTTACGTTTTAGGAGTGTTGAGAATTGACCGTATTTGGCCCCTCTATTCTGAATGACTTCTTTGATTTCATCAGTAGGCTAAAGAAAGTTTTGCTAACCTTACTCTGAGAAGTACATTAATCACACTGTGTTATGTATGCTTCATTTTTTTTTTTTTTAATGGACTAAAACTTTTTTGGCATTCTTCAAAATTTTATTTTTACATTTTAGATACGCGTAATAACATCCATCATAGAGAATTTGTGCCTGTACATGATAATACACAGTGTATTTACTGCTGCTTTTTTTCCCATTCTCTCCCCTGTCTTCAGCCCCTCTTCCCCTGCTTATCTACAGAAGCTCTGTTCCCATCTCTTTCCTTCTATTCTTCCCATTTCCCAGTGTCTACTACGCATTGTGGTCCTTATTTTGGTTTCACACCAGAGAAGCGATGCAGTACTGAAATGGGTGTCTGATTTGAGTCACTTGAGTATGGTCTCGAGGTGCATCCATTTTTAGCTAGAAATGTAACAGATTATCCTTTATGGGAGAGTGGTACTTCATTGTATGAAAAAAACACACATCTTTACCCATTGATGGGCATTTGGGCTGTTTCCAAGATTTAGCTCTTAAAAACTGTGCCGCTATAAACATGGGTGTGCATATGTCGCTGGCATGATGCTTTTTTAAGGGAAGATACCAAAAAGGAGCAACTTGGTCAAATGGAACCTCTTTTGAGGAATCTCCACAGTGGGTTGCACCAGTCTACACTCCCACCAGCAGTAAAGGGGTCCTTTTTCCCATAGTTCCACCAGCATTTGTTATTGGTTGATTTCTTAATGATAGCCATTCTCTCTTTGCATGCGTGCGCACATGTCCTTTTGAGACACGGCCTCACTATGCAGTTTAGGCTGGCTTTGAGCTCATTGGTAGCCCAGATGAGTCTCAAACTCAAACGATCCTCTTGTCTCAACCTTGTGAGTGCTGGGATTACAGGAGTGCACCACCATGCCCAGCTAGCCATTCTTTCTGAAGTGAAATGTAATCTCAGCATTTTAATTTGCATCTCTCAAATCACCAGTGATGTTAAACATTTTTTCATATATTTATTTGCCACTTGTGTTTTATCTGAGAAGTGTCTATTCATTTCAGATGCCCATTTTTGGATTGAGTCTTTAAATTTGATGGAGTCTATTTTTGGGGTTTTTTTTTTTTTTAGTTCTTTGTATATTTTAGATATTAGTACTTTGTTTTTTTTGTTTTTTTTTTTTTGTTTTAGAAATAAAAGGAAAATACTAACAGATCGACAATGTTTTACAAAATAGCAAAGGATCAGTACAGACATTACAGAGTTACAAACAGAGGGGTAGGGAATTAACAATGCTTACTGTATTACATATTGATATATTCAATGTA